GGGACACAAGCGAGAGAATATCGAGATACGAAGGTCTAACATACTATGATTGTACTTACCAAAATTGTGGAAGACTTCTCACTCACGTCACCGCTTTACTCTAACTATATAATGTACGCTCTTTCAGTATTGAGGGCACGCCTCCAAAACCTCTACACCTCTCCTTATACACATTCCTTTCTCCTTTTCTAAGCACTGTAATTCTCTTAGAGAATACTCTCTCCGGCGATTTCACCCATTAATAAAAAGACTTAGGCCACCGTTGCTATTTACGAGAGTGGAGTAGGTCACCCGGACCAAACCACTATAAATTCCTGTGTTAGCTCTTTATTTACCGCTTTACTATTAATTGTCTATTTATTGCTCATTGATTGCTTCTATTCATATTCTTGACTGTTAATCTTGCATTAGACAAATTTGTGCATCATCAGCTATGACCTTGAGTTTTGTTTCAATGTAGGTGCGATGGTATTTCTCGTGGATAACTGTGTTGTGTTGAAAGACAATACTTCCTAACAGATATGTGAATTTACTTATTTATTTGCACACCTATTTTTCCCTACTATAATGTTTTTGGCCAATGAAAATGTGATACATTTAAAATTATTTTATTTTTAATTATTTTTATGATCAATGTCTATAAATAATTTAAAATAAGATCTACCATAAAAAAATATTTTGTAATAAAGTACCAAGAAGTATTGACAAAAAAAGGTACGAAGAAATAAAAAAATGGGTACAATAGACTTCTCTTCGACGATGGGATCCTCTCCTGTCGTTTCCCAAAACAGTATCCTCCACACATTTGTTAAGGATATTTCCAAATATAGAGGTCAAAATGTATTTTTAATCATATTAGGTAGTATTTAATTTACTTAAAATATAAGACGAATTATAATTTATACCTCGAAAGATTTTAAGATTTTCACTCTGTACCTTCAAAAATTAAGTTCCCCAAATCCTCAATGTTTCAAAAGTGTTTCAATATGACATTTATATTAGCTTCTATTAGCTTTTCCGTCAATGACAAGTTAGGATTGATAATTGAGTCAAGTTACTCAGGTTCGGTTTAGTTCTGAGCTTGGTTCAGGTTTTGTTAGTTTAGAAAACGAGCCAAGTTTAGACAATTTTTTAGGCTCATTTAAAAAAAATAAGTATAAAAAGTTCGATTCGTTTATATATAAAATAGTCGAACTATTTAGGCTCGACTCGTTTAATAAGTTCGACAGGGTTGACTCAATTATTAGTCGTAGTGGCAATGGGGTATTTTTGACGAAAAAAATAACAAAAGTCAATATAAGGGTTACATTGTATCACTTTCGATTCATTGAGGGTGCAATGTAAGAAATTTAATTTTTTAGGGAAAAAAATAAAAATCTTAAAAATTTTCCAGGTGTAAAGTACGATTCCCACTAAAATAAATCAAATTGTATGACATTTTCTTTGCGGAATTTTCTGATTAGTTGAACCCTAGAAAANTAAAAAATAAAAATCTTAAAAATTTTCCAGGTGTAAAGTACGATTCCCACTAAAATACATCAAATTGTATGACATTTTCTTTGCGGAATTTTCTGATTAGTTGAACCCTAGAAAACCCAACAACTTCTAAAAAAACTTCATAGAATAAGGATTGTTATTAGTTTTATGTACAACACTTTTTATTTATTTATTTGTATTTTTTTTTGAAGAGAAGAGAAGAAAGGAGTTTGAACCCTTAACCACAAGAAAACAAATCTTTCATAATGTAAAAAGTATTATTAGACTAAAGGCCTATTGGTGTACAAATCTTTTTATTGGGTTCAATCAATCCGACCCAAAAGCAATACGAAATTACAAGTATTGATTTAGTCTTAATGAATTAGAGTTATAATTAGATTGACATACTTATAAAAATGGTTTACTACAATTCAACTTTCTTCCCTTGTTACACATGATACAAACTTAAATGTACAAGATTAGAGATGAATCATTTATAAATTAAGTTAATTTTGACATATATAACTTAAACATGACATGAATTTCATAAGATATAACTCATTACCGTTCTATTGAGAGACACCTATGAGTGTCTATGGTTGTTATACTATTTTCAAAACCATGAGCACTTTTTTTTTGTTTAACGATCAGAGATATTCGGATCACCTTGTGCGTGTCTCGACTAATTCCTTCTTCAGTTCAGTTAAAACAAGTTATTTACGTCGGAATTAATATATTCTTGAGGGATAAATCTCTCATGGCTTGATCTCAAGAGATTGACAAAATTTAGACATAAGTCTTTTGATTTAAATGTCATCCATGTTATCACTTAAGTTATTCTTGACACATTCATATTTTAGTAATGTTCCCTAAAACTTGGGGCAAAAGTTTAGTTTTGTCTAATTTAATTTGGAAAAACATAAAAAATAGAAGTGATTTGACTTCAAATTCAAATTGATAGGGAGGTTTGGATGTGTATTATCCGTGTAAACAACAAACTATGCTTCAATCACACTTGGATTAGATTTGAAATTTGGCAGATATTCACAATAATATAGAGCCAAAAACGTCTCTATAGTTGTAATAATATTTACGAAGCATCCGTCTGTCTTTTCAAGCTGTTTGTGACCCACCACAACCCCATAAATCTTTAAAACAATTTTTTTGTTTTTTTTTTGTTTTCTTGATTTGAGGCAATGGTGATAAGATGAGTGGATGTCCGGGTTNTACAATTTTTTTTGTTTTCTTGATTTGAGGCAATGGTGATAAGATGAGTGGATGTCCGGGTTCAAATCTATTACCACTGCTTTTCTTACCAAAAAAAAAAAAAAAAACTTAGTGTACAAGATTCTAAACATTGTCTGGTAAAAGATTAAGATATACGTAATCTTACATTTATATAAAAAAAATCTTTTTTTGCAACTTAAACTCTTAACACTCAGATTATAATAGAGTAATCTTACTGTTTGTTACCACAATGGAACAAAATCGAGTTTAAGGCTGTGGAAAATTAACTACCTCTTACTTTGCTAATTTTGTCAAAGTATAATGGAAAAATTATTGGATTAATGTTATTAAGAATTAAGAAACATATATAATTTATTGATCTAATGATGTTACACTAATATGGGTAAATATAAATATTGTGACTATAACTGTTAGACTTTTTTCATATGACTCTATCACTTGTCATGTTANCATAATGGAAAAATTATTGGATTAATGTTATTAAGACTTAAGAAACATATATAATTTATTGATCTAATGATGTTACACTAATATGGGTAAATATAATATATTGTGACTATAACTGTTAGACTTTTTTCATATGACTCTATCACTTGTCATGTTATTATATCAGTAAATTATATTATTTTTTAAATCTCAATAATATTACTCCAATTGTTTTGAATGTATGAAATGGGATCATGAATTCAATTTTTCAACAAAAAAGAGAAAGAGAAAGAGAACGACAACGAAAACGAAAAAGAGAAAAAGCAAAATAAAATGGGTATAATCTTAGATTATGAGATGGTATGATTCTTTGATCAAACTATNTTGAATGTATGAAATGGGATCATGAATTCAATTTTTCAACAAAAAAGAGAAAGAGAAAGAGAACGAGAACGAAAACGAAAAAGAGAAAAAGCAAAATAAAATGGGTATAATCTTAGATTATGAGATGGTATGATTCTTTGATCAAACTATAATAGCATAATTGGTTAAATATTGATATGAAATATTGCAAAAGCTAAAGACTTAGAGATTTAAAAATTACAACTAGAAATCGAAAAAAATAATATTATTAAATATTCTAGGAATTAGAAAGTCTTTTTCTAGGTGGAAGTCATATGGTTGTCCTCGCTATTTGAAGTTTTTTCATGTCCACAATACCCCCGCAAAAATCAATAAAAAAAAGTGGAGAAAAGTATAAATAATAAGAAATATAGGGGGCCCCATGTAAATAGTGGGAAAGAAAAATGATTAAGCAATGAAAACAAGAAAGTCGTCTGAATTGACTGTACAATGGAGGAGAAACAAAGGTCACTCTCACTGTGTGAATGCTCAAATATGAAAATGAATAACAAGACACTGGATTCCACCCACGAGATTTCAAGTACAACTGGCTGGGTCAATGTCACCCTAGAACCCTTCTCTCACTCTCTCACACACACACACACAGACTATCAAAAGGATCAAATTAAAACTTGTAAAACATATCTAGTAATTGTTCTCGATCAATTATTATATTTCACGATTAATCACAATTTTTTGAATTGTAACTTATTCTTTCAAAATATTATAACTTTGGTATCAGAGAAGAAACGAAGAATCGTAGTTGTCGTTCCCATATATACATACGACGGAGAGGAAAAAAGATAAATAATTGTCTCATACTAAAATTAGATTATTATATAAAATAAAATACTTGTCCTCGCCACCATGCCACTCTTCTTGGTCCAATCACGGTATGACAAGTGGAAAGATTTCTAGCTTTATTATTTTTAATTATATATATGATGACAATAAATATCTCAAACTAAGATCTAGAGTTAATTTTTTTTTTTTTTAAGTATCCATGTAGAGATATTTTTCATCTTGAGAACTGTTATTTCCCTTTTTCATCTCCTCAAAATGGTATGTTACAAGGTTAATCTTCTAATATCCATTTCATGTTATTTAATTAATTAAAAATCTTTTAATGGACTTGGGCAGAGCTACATGAAACAATCGGCCAAAAAAAAAAAATGATTCCCTAAACTTAGGAAGATCTTCAGGAGAAGTGGGGTTGCTTTAGCAACAAACAACAGGAAAACATTGAAGAGGAAATGAGAAACAAATAATCAATATGTGTGTGTGTGTGTGTGAGAGAGAGAGAGAGAGAGAGAGATGCTACTCCCACTTCTCTCATGGAGGAAAAGAGGAAAAGATAATCTATTCTATTGTTTTGCAATGAAAAAAGAACATAACTTTGCAGGGTATTAGCATAAAACTATTGAGTGTATACTCTTAATATTCTTTTGGTTGCTTTCCATTTTGCTTATGAAAGTAGACAAAGTAAATTATAATACTGGAGCACAAACCAATATCCTCCTATACAAATCTCAATCTCTTCACTCCTAAAACCCCTTTGGGCCAAACTAACAAATTACATGTCATCCTCCCCAACAAGCTAGAAAAAAAATTCCAAAAAAAAAAACAATAATAATAATAAACAAACAAAACTGAAATAATAACGAGATACCTCTTCTCTTTAAGTTCTCTTCTCAGTTCATCACTTATGATGAACTTTCAACCACTCAGTTCATCCCAAATTCAACACAGAATTCTGGAAAAAGAAACAAACAAACATAGAACAAACCCAATATTATTCAGTTTTTGCTGCAAAAGAAAATTGGGGGTAAAACTTAAAATAATTGTTATATCAATTGAACTGACCAACTTTTTATTGGATTATGAACTGTCATTGTGAGCTATTTGGGTCATCATCTCCACTATCTGTAGCTTGAGACTGGTGCTGTTGCTGATGATGATCCATTGGGTGATTTTGCTGATCAGAATTCATATTCAAACCACCTCTAGAATAAGCGTTGAGAGCTGCTAACATGCCCAGATTGGTCTCAGACATTCCTAAACCCAAATTTTGAGACGGCTGTTGATGATGTTGTTGCATCAACATCGAACCCAATTGCAATGGACTTGCTCGTGTACTTTGAAAATCAAGATTCCCTGGAATGTTAAACCTAGGCATCAAATGCAATGGCGCTTGAAGTGTGTTCCCAGTGGCGGGAGCAGGAAAAGGCCACATTTGGGTCTCGGATGGACCAGTCCCAGATGTGCCTGTGGCAGCAGCCAATACTGACTGGCCGCTGCCACCGGCACCAGCACTGACAGGCAGCATCCAGAATGTGTTGCCCGTTGTGCCACCGCTCGGCGCTGGTGCCATTGCCCACATGGCGGTGGCTGGCATCATATTAGTATGCCGTAGCATATTTGAGGAAGGTCCAGCTTCTTGCTGTTTTGGCAATTGCATAACACTCTTGAATTGCTTGTTGGAAGGTGAAGTAGAATCAGCTGACATGTCTCCTTGTGGTGGTGGCCGGTGACCTTCTTCTTTGAACAAATCTTCTCTGAACCTTTTCCTCAGATAATTCTCGGTATCATGACCACCACCACCACCACCATCGCCACCGCTAGGTATTGCTTCAGCAATCTGATCAGCCGTCAAAAGATGAGGGCTTTGGTGGGGGTGGTGCTGTTGCTGGTGGTGGTGGTGAAACCCTAACATGTGAGAGAACCCTTCTTCATACGGGTGGTGGGCAAGAGCTAAACCGCCGGGAAATGAATGCGGAGCCGCCTTAGACGGTGGAGCTGATAGAGTCGATCCACTGCTCCGAAGTGACACGTTGAGACTGGATAAATTTGCCGGGATGGTGCCCGTACCGGTGGCGGCGATGATGGCTGGCTCCGCCTGCTGTAACAGCCACTCAATTGTCTCGCCGTCGGACTTATGCCCTAATTCTCGTGTCAATTGGAAGACCCTGGCGGCGCAAGTCGCCGGCATTCGGATACGCCGGCCACGGCCGTCGACTTTGGTGTGGCGGTCTTTGGTTGATCTTTTGGGTGCATTTGTGGTGGTTGTGAGCTGTTGTTGTTGAGATTGTTGCTGGGTTTTTTTGGAAGGATCGGTGAGGGCTTCGGATCTGGTGGCGATGGCGAGTGACGCCTCTATAAGCCGCGGCGGCGGTGGAGTGGTGGAGGAGGTCGCAGCACCAGTAGATGGTGTAGAAGGTGATAAAGATGACCCACTTGCACCACCACCACCACCGCCGCAGCCGCTTGTTAGGCCAGGTTGGATGGAGATGGAGCCCATAAATGGGGCTGATCGGCCATGTGGTTGTGTGAGGTGGGGTTGTGAAGAGGAGGTGTTGGTGGCGCTTTGTTTATTGCTGTGCAAATCTGTAAGCTCCATGTGTGTGTGGGGTTTTTTTCACTGTCAAGAATTTTCTTGGTGGGTTCAAAACAGATACTTTTTTGTCACCTTTTTCTTCCGCTGATGATTCATCAACCCCATCTCCATCTCTCCTCTTTGTTGTTCTTGGGAGAGAGAGAGAGAGAGAGAGGAAGAGAGAGAAAATCCTTTAAATTCTTGCAGGTCTGGACCTAACTAGGACTTGCAGTTTGTGGGGTTCTTGGTTTCAGATTGACTCTTGTCTTTCTTCCACTCAAGCTCTGTGTGTGTGTGTGTGTGTGTGTGAGAGAGAGAGAGAGAGGTAAGAAGATAGGGGAGCAGGTGGGGGGGACCTGGGTGGGAAGTAGAAGCCCACTTGTGTGGCATATAATGTAAAGGAATGTTAAAAATGGCCTTTGCGTTAAGTATAATAAACTGTTATATGCTTAGACATGCTCAGTAACAAGTAATAATAAGCTTCAATAGGGACAAAGCTTGCACCTGGATATGGAAAGACCACAATACCCTTCATCAATTCCATAGAATTGGTGTCGACGGGGTTAAAGTTGTATCTTGGCCCCACTGAAAATAAACTTTCCTGGTTCAAGCATAAATTCTACTGGCCAACTATTATGGACTTTTGTTGACCGCGAAGTCATAAATTCTATTGGGACCCCCTGAGATGTTAAAAATAACACAACAATCCCAATCGGAGATTTAATGAAAAATAAATAACTTACCATCAAACCATTAGCATCTCCCTCCATCCGCAGGTTCTCATGCACCCATCTTTGCAGCCAATCCATCACCCCCTAGCTCTTATTCATATTGAAGACTCGCTTGATTTTCCAAATTAAATGAACAACTGATTGAACAATTTTGTGGTGTCAGTGATTTAGGGGGAGATGGGTATAGATAGTGGTTGGTTGGTGAGAAGGGTCTCGTGGTTGTTCAAGTCCCAATTGGTGAGTAAATATTGGGAATAACAGTTACACCATATTCGTAATATTGATGTGATGTAATTATTGAATAAAAAAATTACAAAATAGATAAAATGTGCTCCATTTGATAGTTATATATTACATGGTTGGGTAATTATGAATTTTTGTGAGCTAGCTTGAAAACTTATTTACTTGTTAGTGGACGGTACACTAGTGGCATAGTTTAATAGTTAAATCCAATATTTTTTTCCAATTGGTGGTACTTTGATAGTGGTTGTGGTGCAGTTTTGATTGTATTTTGATGTTCATGGATTGTGTGTGTTTGGGGTTGGGGTCAGGGGGTTTGGCGTAGGTGATGGTTTCAAGAGTGGTAGAGGGGGTAACGGTGCAACTTCTTTCTTTCTTTTATCGTAAGTTTTTAGAAACAACGGTTGTCCATGTTATTTTGTAATTATCAAGGGGCGTTCACGTTATGATAACAAAACATAGGGATATTAGTGAATTTACCTTTTATCCAAAAAAAGGTATCCATTCTTTTACCACACAGCTCTCTCTCTCTCCCTCTCTGTGCAGCATGCGGGCAAGAGCCACGCAGTTGCAGACCAGAAACTGCAGGATCTCACAGCCATCTACAACCCCTTATGTCACTTAAATATCTCAAACTTGATTGATCCTCACTTTTCCACCATAAAAACCAAGACCAAAAAACCTCAAAACCCCCAGGTTTTAGCTCTAATCACACCCCATGATTGTCAACTGTTGAACAGTACAAGGAACAAGGATGGTGTTTGGTTGGTTGGGCAAANTTTTTAGCTCTAATCACACCCCATGATTGTCAACTGTTGAACAGTAAAAGGAACAAGGATGGTGTTTGGTTGGTTGGGCAAAGTGTTTTTGTGGTAAATAAGAAGAAGAGGTGGAAGGTGAGGTGAGTCCAGGGTGGTAGATAGACAGCGCAGGTGAGCATCAGATAAAGCATCTAATGCANTGATCCTCACTTTTCCACCATAAAAACCAAGACCAAAAAACCTCAAAACCCCCAGGTTTTAGCTCTAATCACACCCCATGATTGTCAACTGTTGAACAGTACAAGGAACAAGGATGGTGTTTGGTTGGTTGGGCAAAGTGTTTTTGTGGTAAATAAGAAGAAGAGGTGGAAGGTGAGGTCAGTCCAGGGTGGTAGATAGACAGCGCAGGTGAGCATCAGATAAAGCATCTAATGCAGTGGGACAGACAGCTCATCCCAACCCAAAACCACACACTTTTGTTTTGTTTTTTTATTTCCTTTTCTTTCTTCTTTTTGAGTTGTTGTTGTCTAGAAGGGCACACACCTCTTTTTGATAAGATGGGTGGAAAAAAAATTGTGAAAAGACTATACTGCCCGAAGTCAAGAATGTCCAATGTTTGTTATAATTAGAAGACTAAGAAAGATTGTGTGTCGGTGCGTGTGTGAGTTCGAATTTGGCAATTTTTGGAGCTAGGTTATAAAAAATTTAACTTTCATGAATATCTTAATTCTGGGGTAGATGACCTGTCTTTGATCATATTAGAGAAAAAATTAATCGATATGCGTATAATGTGACCCGAATATTTATAATCGTTGAAGTATACTTATAAGCTTTGGTAGAGTGTGTTGGATTTCTTATATCCATAAGGATTAATTTATATAAACAAAAAATAGATTAATTTATTAATGTAAGTATTGCCTAACAAAAGAAAGGCAATTGCAAATATAATTGGAAGAATATATGATTCGTGATGACTATGAAAATGTATTTTGGACTCACGACGCACACAATTATCAACAAATAATGTGCATAGGGTCAATTAGATTAAATCTCTTTTGGCAACAAATTTGTTTTTGTCGCTAAATTTTTTTTCAGACGAGCCTAAGGCAACAAAATTAGTTAGTCCTCAAAAATTTTAGCGACAAACTTTTTACTTTTCGTGACAAGTTAGTTCGTCGTTAAAGAACAAATTTATTGTAGTGTCATGGTCAAAAAATGTAGTAAATGTAGATAGGATGAAATTGTCTTTCATACCTTGTGTTTTCAAAAAATGCTATAGTAATTTCCTCACTCTACTTCAAAAACAAATAAACAAGGGTCGTAATATCATTGTACAATTAACACGTCGTTGTCGGGTATTCGCTTTTTTTGTGCATGTATATTAACGGTAGAAATAGATTTTCTTGAATTCTAAGAGTCGGTTAAAAATTATAATTATGAATTTCAAGCAAATAGGGTTGAAAAAGAATTTATTGCAGCTGTAATGTAAGTAAGTGTCAATATTAATAGTTCCATATTAATCAAATCTTGCAGTGTTGTATCATTCAATCTTTCCCACCAAATTAGTGCAATTGATTCCAAGTTTTAACTCCCAAATCTCTTAAATCTATATGTAGACAACCACTAGATGTAAGAGAAATTTTATCTTTTTACTAGTATGTTATTTTATTTTCATCGAAAAAGCTCCAGTTAAAATTAGGTAAGTTATTATTCCCTTGAGAATCTTCGGTAAGTTGATAACTAGAATCATCCCAATGATTTGTCTTTTAAAGTTGTAATTGCAACATCCGTTTAGAATACATATAATTACCTATAGACGACGAGAGTTGCATAAATGAAAGTTTTTCTTACGAGATTTGAACTTGAAATTTAGAGGTNTTTTAAAGTTGTAATTGCAACATCCGTTTAGAATACATATAATTACCTATAGACGATGAGAGTTGCATAAATGAAAGTTTTTCTTACGAGATTTGAACTTGAAATTTAGAGGTATTTGCTCGAAAGTAAGATCATCCAAATTATCCTGATTGGTCAACCAAACTGTGTTTTGTTTTGTACTCAACGGTACTATCTGAGAAGTTTGCAGCACACTATCTAGCAAAATATAGTTTTAGTTGTACAAGTTCTTGTTCCCTGGAGAATTTTCGGTAAGTTGATAACTATAATCATTCAAATGATTTATCTTTTAAAGTTGTAACTCCAACATCCGTGCAGAATACGTGCAATTACCGATAGAAGAAGAGAGTTGAATAAATTAAAGTTTTTCTTACGAGATTCGAACAAGAAATTTGGAGGTATTAGCTTGAAACTAAGATCATCCAATTTATTTTGCCCGGTCAAGCAAATCATGTTTTGTTTGGTATTCAACAATACAGTTTGGGAATTATGCTGTACACTATCTGGAAAAATATAGTTTTAGTTGTACAAGTTATTATTCCCTCTTGAATCTTTGGTAAGTTGATAACTAGAATTATCCCAATGATTTATCTTTTTAAAGTTGTAACCGTAACATCCGTGCAGAATACGTGCAATTACCGAGTGACGAAGAGAGTTGAATAAATGAAGGTTTTTCTTACGAGATTTGAACTTGAAATTTGGAGGTATCATCTCAAAAATAAGATCATTCAAATTATCCTGACCGGTCGGTCAACCAATCCGTGTTTTGTTTGGCACTCAACAGCACAACACTATCTAGCAAAATACACACTCCTTTATTCTTGTTACCCTCCCTCTAATCTGTTAACTATTTCCAGTTGTTGGAGAGTAATAAAAATTCCTATCGTTTCTCAAGTGTGTTTAACAAATGCTTAATCAGCAGGTTAGGGAAGCTTATAAATAAATACTAATGGAAAGGGACTGTTTTGTCTATTCATAATGAAATTCCAAGTTTTAAAAGTTTAGAGGTGCCCCAACCCATATATTTCACTAGTATAAAATTTCAAACCAACAAGTATACATATTATAAGTCATGAACACTAATCAACCAGGCAGTTCCACCTGGACCCACCTTCTCCCTTTGAATTATTATATAAAATTGACTAGATAATCATCAAATACAATAATTCAAAGAGCCCCCACAAACCCAACCCCCATCCTCATCCTCAATGATATTAAGCATATATATTTAATTAAAAGAAATATGATACTTAATCTTGTAACAAGGAAAAAGAAATCTTCCCTCTTCCTCTCTCTAGAAATGATAGGGAGTGTAGGATTTGGGATATCTCCATTTGGTAATTGTTTAATCTTTCTACTTTAATTATTTAGTGCTAACAACCATAGCAAGAATCAATGTTGAAAAAGTTTAGTTAAACTTTTCTGGGTTAGTGGCTATGAATTTCAAGTAGGTCGGACCTGAAGTCATCAACACTTGGAATTTTAAATACTCATCCATCAAAACAATATCTCCTAGGGTCGAATTCAGAAATTAACTTTTTCTGAAAAAAAAAGTGAGTTTTTTAGTAATTTTTTTGTTCCTTTTTTTCCTTGCTAATGATAAGTTTTTTACTATTTACATCTATTAAATCATGTTATAGACGGAGAGTGTTATGTATAACGATCAACAAGTAAATATTCAATGCAACGATGATACTTTGTTAGCAATATCATGTCAGTATTGTCATATGACATCACTAAC